ACTTCCATTATCTCCTGCAGTGAATGCTGGATTCTATTAAATGTATTTACATTTTTCTCCTTAAGCACCTTTTGCTGGGTTTTCACTTAACCATCCAACAAATACTGTGGTTATGCAAATGTTTACACTGCGTTCATCTCATTTATTTTTGCACAGAAAAAAATAAAAAGGAGATGTTCCTAATTGTAAAAATACTGGATTTGTTTGGAGAAAAAAATGATTAATAATTGCTAAAAATGGTAGTTTTCTATTTGCTACAAACCTAAAAGCACAGCTGAACAGCAAAGTATGGAATGACAATGTTTAAGAAAGATGTCAGACTCATTCCCACATCCCCCACCAGGCAGATCCTCACCAACACTCATGAACAGCTGCCAGCAAAGGTGGAGCCCACAGTACAGCAAATGCACAACTTCATCAGCGTGTTTGCTGGGGCTCAGTGCTCCTTTTCCAAAGGCAGTATCAGGTATGAACAGACCTTCAGCATTCCCAACCTGCCCACTCCTTTATAAAGTGGCAGTGGCTCCAGCTCCAGGAATGGTTCCGTGCTGACTCACTTCTTCTGCAATACCCAGAGGAGCTGAGACAAACCACACACTGAGAATTATTACTCCAAGTTATTGCTTCCCTTGGGCTATTTGAATAACAAACAAAAAGAATGCATAAAGTGAATCCAGATTTTCCCATTTCACTCGTTTAGAGTGTAAGGTCTTTGAGGCAGGAGAACTACCTTCACTTTGGATCTCACACAGTATTTTTCACCTTATCAACAATTCATGCAATAATGTATGTAACTGTTCTGTCCTTGCTAGAAAAGAAGGCACAGCCCCATGTTCACTGATAAAGACCCTGACAGATGTCCTGGGAGGACAGATTTGATTTGGATCAAGAAAGAATACATACTGAAGATTGTTGTTGAATTAGCCAGAACGCTTTATGGTGGTTACACAAGATTTATGCTGTCTGTGGAAAAGTACAGATGACACTCAGCTGGCATAAAGTCAGAACAGCTCAGAAAGACAACAACTGATTCAATAAAAATTTAACCAGAACAAAATGGCAACTTAAAAATTTTCAAATGGCACCCCTGTGTTCCTATCTGTCCCTTGCTTTGCATCTCAGGCTATTTTTACTCTTTTGGAAGAGACTCTAAAAGGTTTATGACTCTTCAGATCATATCCAAGGGACTGAATCCGATCTCATGGGTCAGAAGGGTGTCCTCCACCAGCTTGGCCTTAAGTTTATCATCAGTCACAATGTCATTAGTCACTTCTGTTTACCAATCAGAATGCTGAAATAAACATCTTGGTTAAGCTAAAACCACAAGAAATGGAGGATGGCGTACCAGAAGAACAGTGTGAATCCTATTCTAGGAGGATGGAAAAATGGAAAAATAGGGTCTGCCTCAGACAGGATCCCCAGGCACCTCACTCAGATAATCAGCTTGACAACTGAGACGCTGCCAAGTATAAAAAGACAAATTTCCTTAAACCGTCTTTAAGTTGCTACTTTACAAAGCACGAGCCTCAACTAAGCATGAGCTTCACCATCAAAGTGAAATCTCGGCCCCAGTGAAGTCACCAGCACAAATTCCCAGTGCTTTAAGGAGCCCAGAGCCACCTTTTGTTGTGTGGGGCTCACATGACAACATGCAGGCATCTACAGCCATGCAGCTTAACCTTGATCACCCCTGAGGAAAAACACACACTTTTAGACTTTTAGACTCATCCTCTCTTAGAGGAGACACCTAAAATAGGTCAACTGATTTATACCCAAAAATGCTTTTTTACCTCCTCAGGCTGAAACAAAGATTTAAGTGACAAGCTCTATATTGCAGATATCTAAAATAAGCAGAAAGAAACCCACATAGAATTTTATTCTTGGTTTTCAGATGAAAACACAACTTGTATAAAAGGAACCAGCACACAATACAGACTGCTCTGTGGAAAAGATCAGAAGACAAAGTTATTCATCACTCCTTCAGCAGGAAGGCTCCTGAAACTTAGTCCCCAGTCAATGACATGGAAAGTTGGAAACATTAACTATCCATGCTAATCAGAGAGGTGAAACAAATCCCAAGTAAATTGGTCAGGTTTCCAGTAGATCTCATAAGAGTAACACATTTTTGATACTGGGATAACTGATAATTGATTTTCTGTTTCAATAAAGTTACTTCAGGCTATTTGTGTATTTTTTTATTATATCATTAGGTTTCAGCATCTCTTCACAGACTAAAAACGAGTAGAACAAGAATAATTTTGCCTCTCTGCAGTTTTAACATCAGGATATATTTATGATTTATTCTACATCACCTCCTCCCTGATGTGTCTTGGGTTCTTGCACAGGAGTTAAAGTTATCTTCACTATGGGTAACTTTCCCACAGCTTCACCCAACTTCAAAAATCTGTCTTCTGATGTTCCTCCAAATTTTCACCTTGTCTGCCAAAACTAATGCTCTATTTCTGACCTTTGAACTGGATTTCCAGGATGAGGAGAAGAAAATCTTCTGGCCTCTTACTCCCTGGCATATTCCACAGAACAGGCTTTTTTATTTTTGTCAACACTGATTGTTCGTAACAATGAATGTTGATTACTCAGATTTTAATTTCCGTATTTTTCCTTTCTTACTGTTCCTGGTTAATTATATTGTTACATGCACATGCATTTACCACACCTTGGAGATCAGATTAGACAAATGGAAATATTCCAATAAGATACAAATAACAGAGATACAGTATAGAAAAATCAAGATCATAACAGTAATTCTGGAAATTGTGAAATATGCAACTATTGGACATTTCTTACAAATGAAATTTAATTTCTCATTTAGAGAAAGCTTTAAGCTTTAAGCTCTGAATATAGAAAAATAAAAAGTATTAATTTTCTAAAGAAAAAGAAAAAAAAAAGGTAAATATTGAATGCAAATAGCCAGAAGAAACCTTTACAATTTCCATCAAGATCACAACTTTTGCTTTTCATCAGAATGTATTTCAATAACTTACTCAAACAGATTGCAGTAATTCCATAATACCATGTGATTTATGGGTACAACACATATTAAAACTAAAAAAACCCCCTAAACCTAACACCTATTTAAATAACAGATTGTTATTAGAGTGGAATTTGTCTCTAGCATTCAATATCTGTGAAAAAGAACATGCATCTTACACAGGAACTACTGTGCCTAAGAAAATGTAACCTCTCTACAGCCACCATTTTCATCTTTCTTAGTGTTAAACACACAGCTTTACTCTACATATCCATAGCAAATTTAATTTTCCTATTTGATAGATTAAATAACTTTAACAGTCTGGTTACCCTTCAGCTCAATGAAGAATGTAAATTTGACATCATCTCTATTAGGCGTTGAATATTTTGGAGAAGAAATTAATTCTTTTTCTTATGGTCTTATAACCTCCATAATTTTCTGAGACCTTTCTCTTGCTTTACTGCTCCTACATGACAGGTACAAAGGCTCCATTTCAAAGTGGGTCCTTCCAACCTGCACATTACTACTGTGGTTCAAAACAAAGAAACCTTTCAAGACATCTCATGGACTGCTCACTTCAGTATCTTGATAAATCACAAAGCTTGGCCTGGAATCTTATTTCAGTGTATTATTTACTATAATATTTTGGTGTATGTAACATTTCAGTATGTTAGAGACTCTGAAGTCTTTTCTGTTTAATGACATTTTCTATAACTGACACCTTCTTTCCAGAAGGACTCAATAGCTTTTTACAGATGTTCTTTTAAAATGCACTCTGTAATGAAGACTCGATTCATTATTAAAAAAAAAAAATAAAGGGTCACAATCATCAAAAGCGATTTTCAATATAAATAGTAATCTGTTGTTACAAGTCAGGACTGAAGTATACAAACACTGTTGTTAATGACAATTAAATAACAACCCCTGAAGCACTGATATCCACCTTCTTTTAACAAAATACTAGAATACAATTTAAAGAAAAACTTGAAAAATGCCTCAGCTATTCGTTAAATGACTTGGATATCTATCCCTCTTCAAAATGCAGCTGAAACCTGTGAGTGAGCTCAAAAATCAGCAGAAATTACTGTATCACAGACTAATAGCACAATTGTTTTAAGTGCCATTTCCTTCAGAAACCAGGCCACAAGAATACTCATTTCAGACCAGAAATGTCTTAAATGTACCAGAGGCTCAGTGGGGAAAAGAAACGCAATCAGAGTGCTGATGAAAAAAGGAAAGGAATTGCAGAAAAAGGTAACTGCAAAGCGTACCACCATCCACCTATTCAACAGCTTATAGCACACAGAATACATTGCTTTCAGTCTATTATAATCCAAGATTTATTTTCTTATTTATGGCAACAACATAACAAGAGAGGGAATCCCTGTCATTTATATCCTGATCAGTCAATAATCTGGAGGTCTAATGCAGACTCAAGCAAGCAAATAATCATTCAGATCAGTCCAGCCAGATTTTAATGAACAGTTTTAATTTTCTGGAAGAAAGACGTTTGTTCTCCTTCAGGAACATCTCATTTCCAGCCACCAGTTTCAAAAAATTGCTCAGTCTACAATTCAGTTCCACAGTAGAAAAGTAGCCACTGAGTATAAAAGTCTTATTCAATAAATATCACTTCAGATGAGGGTTAACCTCAAAGTTTCCTTTATTCTTTTAACTAACATTTACCTCTAAAATAAATAAATCTTGATGATTAATCTGTTTTCCAAACACACACACAAAAACAGTTTCCTTAATGTTAGTGAATCAAAATGCTAAGAAATATTATGAGAAGAATACCTATATAAAGGATGCTTTTCCATTTCTTTCCCAATTTTCATCACCAATACAGCTGTACACCTCAATGAGGTATATTAATTAGTTTCCCTATAACTGTAGGACAACTAATTAAAAACCACTGGTAAATTCAGATCTGGAAGGACTTACTAGCATAGCGTTTTTTTAATTTTATTACTTATTTTATAAACACGTAAGTTCAAAAATCCGTACTTACTTCTACATGTGCACATAACACTTGTTCAGTGTTATCATTGTTTTTCTCCTTGAGGTCTGGTGGGATGTGTCTATTTCTTACTTGGAAGTGTGTCTTACTAAGATAACCATCACCAAGGTCCTGCATTCAGAAAGAGAGAAAAGAAATTTTCTGTAACCAAAATGGTAAATGTCTTCACTGTTCTAGAAAATAAACAGAGCATGGTATTTAGGCACAGGCTCCAAGTCTTTTTATAGGCACTGATGACTGCAGTGCTCCTCAGCACCTTCTCACAGATAGTTTACACCAGTCCTTGGTGTTGAAGAAAGTCAAAGACCTGAACAGCAAAAATAAAGTTTAATACAGCTATTAATGGAATAAGACAACTGCACCCTGGGGATCAGGATAAGTGCCAAAGAACAGGAAGGCAGTGCACCAAGGTGACGAAGAGATGAGGAGTTATTAACAATTTTGACCTATTTCAGTGCACTCATGCCAGGATTAACTTCCCAGCTCTTGCGAGGCTGGTTTGGTTTTGCTCTGTTTCCCCCTCTAACTTTACAAAGTTCTGAAAACAAAACAAAACCACTTTGGAATTTATGTATGCAGAGTCACAACTTGTTTCCTTCTCTTGATCACCTCTGAGGTCAAAAGTAAGAGAAAACAGACGAAGCTGTGCCTTCTCCCAGTTCCCATTTTATCATTCTGCCTCCCAGGCCACACGGCCCACAGTTGTTAAGTACCCTTGTACAATCCCAGAGTGGCAGAAGAAAAGTTTAGGAGCTTTCCTGCATTACTGGCCTGTCTACCTGCACATTTTATTTTTCCTAATTAGGAGCAAAAGGAGAGAAAATGTTTAATAACAGATAAATGTTTAATAACACTCTGAAAGGGAGAAGGCATGCACAGGACACAAAGAACAGTAGTTGCGTGTCAAGGATTTATTTCTCAAAGGAAACAAATAAATTGGGGGTTTATTAGCTGTTCCATTACATTTTATTTTAGACAAACAGGGAGCATGTGCACAACATCTGAAGAAAAAGGATTCTATTCAAAACAGTCTCACTACAAAATTCATTAACATAGCATTAAATTACTTGACAAGAGTGCAAATTTAACTGTGATTTAACTCTTTGGTTAATTTGTCATTGCTGACACAGTTTATGCAATTTATTTTGACCTTTAAACCATCACAGGTTTTTATATACTGACACACTCGTTCTCTCTTTCCGTAGACACTGTAGATTATACACACCTCCAAAATCTACTATGAGCTCCTTGTTTACTTTGCTCTGATCAAGTTTCACACACAAAAAAAAGGATAACGCTCTCTGCATGCATTTTTCCCATTGATTTTTAAGCATGAATAACACTGTAGGCAATTATATTGCTCACTTCTCCTCCTGTATGCCTTATTTTCTCAATAAATCTCATTAAGAGCATGAACCCACCAAACTTCCCTGCATGTTCTGGCTGCAGAGCCAAGTGCAGGCTGTGCAGGGAGGAACCCAGTGCACAGAGAATGACAAAAGGAAAACTAAGCCTAAACTGGTGACAGAAAATCCACTTCTTTCACTCTCAACACTCTCTCCAGCGTCTCCTTGTCCCTCCCAAGTGTCTCCTCCTGGAGCTTCCCAAGAGTGCCAGCAGGAGGAAAGATACCTGCACAGGGATTTGTCCCACTAAGAGCAGCAGAGGAAGTGCTGCAGCCACCCACAGAGGTGAAATGCCCCGGGGCACAGCGAGCTGTGCCAGAGCAGGGCTGGACAGAGCCTCTGCCTCCCTGAACCGGTTCTTCCTCCCAACAGAGTGCAGTCAAACCTCACAGCCTTCACATTCTGAGAGTGCCATGAAAAAACATGGATGGAAGGATGGATGGAGACCTGGAGGCAGCAGTGTCTCTAGCTGTGTGTGTGTCAGAGCAGGCAGGAAGGAGGAGCATCCCTCCTGCTGCACTCCACAGTGTTTTGTGCTCTGTACACTTCTATACCCCTATAAATCAAAGCTGTAGCCAGAGCCTTGATCCCACTAATGTGCAAAGGGAGTCCCTTCCTACTGCAGCTGTATCACAAGCCAAAAGGAACTAATGCAGCTTTTGGTACGATTACCTGGATTAACCTCACTAAATATGAAACAAACATAAAGCAGAGAGCAAACAGGGCCTTGTTTGCTTCAGTTAAATCTCGATCTCCACAGCAAGATTTAACCATTCATCCCTACAGCAGCACCCAAGTTCAGTTCCACCAGCTCCTGCAGTAGAGGTGCTCTTGGCTTTTTTACAGCTTTCTTCCAGTTGGAAAAAAAAACCCAAACCAAGAAAACACATTATAAAAATAACATCATTTGGAACATTTCACTTACAGCTATAAATACAGGGTTCTGCTTGGGCCATGTGAGCTTATGCACCAAGAGCCAGCTCCGTGAGAACAATGAGTATTTCATCATCTAAATTTAATCTCCACAGAAAACACGGGAACACAGGAACACAGTTCTACCAGCCTGGTTCACTTTGTGTGGTCCCACTGCTATCAATGGGTCTATTCACGTGAGTCAGGAATGGGGAATGGGATCCAAGTGCATTACATCAGCAAAATTAAGAGTGCCCCACACTACCCACAACACATATACTGGTTAAAAAAAAAAAGCAAAAAGACAATGAGACATCTTGTTGAGGAAAAACTTTCTTCCCAGACTCCACACTATACATGGATGGTCTCCATGGCCAGGTTTTTATCACACATTGAAATCACAGAGTCGCCAACTTGGCCCATTAAAAGAAAGAAAACAACCCTCTAAGAATTTTTTTTTTATATGAGAACAAAAATCTATCTCATTCTGCTATTTCCAGCAAAGCTTATTTCACAGAAAGTTCAGACTTTGACCCATGTATTAAATTCCCAGTAGAGGCTCAGAACATCTTTCTTTGTTGAATAAATCCTCACAAATATAGCCTTGGACTGAAATCTAAAGTTTCAAATGGTTTCCTGTAATAAAGGGTGCATTGTAACACTTGGCTAACATTTGCACTCTTTTAAAAACTCCTGAACAGAACAAGTCTAAGTCCAAGGCCCTCCCTCTTACTGAAATTCTGACTGTCTGTGATGAAAGGGTTACAAATATTAATGTACAACTACATATGTAAAAATGATGGCACACACTGGGAAAATCATGACTTTTCTCCAAAAAATCCATGAAAACATGGGAAACCACTAAAGCCATTAAACTCTTAAAAAAAAAAAAACTAGAGCAACAAATTTTCTACAATAGAATGGATACACAAAAAAGTGAACATGAAAAGCTACATGCTCGAGAAACCCAGCATCAATATATCTTCAAATACTGTGACAACACATATTTATATACTGTATCAATATATATTTATACACTATAATACATATACTGGCTAATTTCTGTACCTATACACATATTAGTTTGATGTTATCCCGAGCAAAATAACAAAAGTCATATGGAATTCAGTAAATGAAAAAATATGTACAGTAAAAGCATTTTCCTTAAAGAAAACACAATTTGTCAGTGTAATTTCAGAAGACGTGTTTGGTTGATAAACATACAAGTTGGAACAACATATGCTCAGAATTCCCTAAGATATCTGTGGATTCCACAAGTGGAAATATAAAAAACATTTTTAAATCCCACACTAATCTTACACGTGCTATAGGATGAAAATTTATTAATTCACAGATCTCAAGTGTAACTTAAAAAATGTGGAAATCATCATAAAAGAAGTGATCCTAATGGGGTCCTTTGGGACTAGTCTTACCCCTGTGCTATTTAAAATTTTGGTTAATGACCTAGAAACAATATGTAGTTATTATGGTAGAGGTTTGAAATTTATGGAGGAGCAGCAAATAATGAGAATTGATCATTAATACTGGCATATACTTCTGGCTGCTGTATGCAACTGATAGGAATTGTAATGAAAATACAAACCAAGGATCTAGAACCAATGCTGTGTGCTATTTGAACCTAAAGGGTTAAAAGTGAACCTGGGATATAAAACCACAGGCAGCTGCCCAGAGTAGGAGGGATTGAATTTCACTGTGACACCACCACATTCATTGCCTGGTCCTGCCCACAGCTGAAAAAGGGTTTTGAAAGATTGGCCAAGATTCAGAGATCCACAGCCCCATTCACAACGTTGGCCTAAACCCTCAAATCAACCTATGCACTGTGATGGTCTTGGACCAGCTGTGTTAAAAATCTGTTTCCTGCGTTGTTGAAGGATGTTCCAGCTTGTGGTGGTTGTCAGCAGCTCAAAAAGTCCACCAAGAGTCTCTAGAAGTCAACACTCTGCTTGTTTTACCTTGCTAGTTCTCCACTCCCAGCCATCTCCTATCTGCTGCGAGTGTTTAACAAAGTCTTCACAGTACTGCTTGAATCTCTTCTCCTCCAAAAAGAAGTCTTCTTCACCAGCCATGCTGCAGGACACCTGCAGAGCAAACTGCAGGTTAGTGCGGGCACATAAAAAGAACACCAAGAAATTTCACTAATTTATGGCACTGAAGAGTAAAATAACAAACCATGGGGGGGAAAAAAAGCTATTGCTTTAAATAAAACAAAGACTTTTCTTCAGTTCCATCAGGAAATCGTGGATCTGCAGAACAGCTGAGGCTGGAAGAGACCTTTGGTCCATTCCCCCTGCTCACAGCAGTGTCGGCTGCAGCAGGTTTTTTGGGATTATCTCCATTTGGGTTTGGATTATCCCCAAGGATGGACATGCCACAGCCTCTCTAGGGAACCTGTTTCAGTGTTCAATTATCACAGAAAGGAATATTTTTTCTTCTGTTTTAACTGGAAACATTTACCAATCAGTTTGTTGCCTCTTGTGTTGCCTTGACTGAAGAAAAGTCTGGCTCCATCTTCTTCATTCCCTCCCCTCAAGTATTTATGGACATTTAGAAGATCCCACTGACCTTCCTCTTCTCCAGGCTGATTCATCCCAGCTCTCTCAGCCTTGCCTCATACACCAAACACCCTTAATCATCTTTGGGGCTCTCAGCTGGACTGGTTCCAGTATAGTATGTCTTCCCTGTACTGGGCAGCCCTGAGTTGCACTTTTAACATGCATTTCCTTAACAGTGCAGTGCAGTTCTCTGTGGTCCAAACACATGGCTTCAAAACCCTCCTTGACCCTCAAAGGGTTTTCTCACAGGGTTTTGAGGATGAATTTTTTTCTCAGAGAATTTGCTCACACTTTTACATATCCTCCCTCTCCCTCTGTCCATTTTAATGAGGATGTGTCATAAAGAGAGCTAGTTTAATGTGTTTGTAGCAGCACCACAAACAAATCACTGAATCACAGAATGGTTTGGATGGAATGAACCATAAACTCATCTTGTTCCATGGGCAGGGACACTTCCCACTGTCCCAGGCTGCCCCAAGCCCCAGTGTCCAGCCTGGCCTTGGGCACTGCCAGGGATCCAGGGGCAGCCACAGCTGCTCTGGGCACCCTGTGCCAGGGCCTGTCAGCCCTCACAGAGAAGGATTTCTTCCCATTCTCTACTCTAAACCTACTCTTTCAGTTTAAAGCCATTCCCCTTGTCCTGTCAGTGGCTATCACAATAACCTGTAACTACTAGAACCAGATCACACCTCTCCTTAACAAGAAATACAAGTGACACACCACCTCACGCAATGATCGTTATTTTTCAGCGTCTGACCCTGAGTCACATCATCATCCTGTCTGCCCAACACAAAAATTATTTATTAGCACTTGAAACATATTACTCTCAACAGCAGTTAACCCAAGGCTCCGCTGCTCTGTACCTCTTGGATGCCAGGAAAGGGGAAGAGCAGGAGGCAGACAGGGCAGGTGTATCTGCAATTCTCTAAGTGCACTGACGGCGGGCTGCAAATTGCCTTCATTGAAAAACGTGAGGAGGGCACGGTTCCCTCACAGGGCTGAAGCAGAGCTGTGTGCTTCTGGAAACGGGCAGCTGTGAAGGATCACAGAACGCCAGGATATTTGTGTTTGAGAGGGAGCTGTGGGGATGCTGTGCTCCATGCCCCTGCCCAGGCAGGCTCCCCTGCAGCAGTGGCACAGGAACGTGTCCAGCTGGGCTGCCATGGCTCCACACAGGGACACTCCAGGCCCTCCCTGGGCAGCTGTTCCAGGGCTCTGCCCCTCCGTGCACACAAGTTCTTCCTCCTGCTGGGCTGCACTGCCTGCCCTTTCTCTGATGGCCATTGCTGCTCCTGCTGCCACTGGCAGCACTGAGCAGAGCCCGGCCCTATCCTCTGGCAGCCCTGGAGATGTTTGGATGGACGGATGGGATCCCCTCTCCCCTTCCCTCCTCCAGACTCTGTGGGAGAGCCCCGAGCCCTTCACGGGCCTGGCCGGCTGCTGGAGCGCAGGCGAGTAGCCCCGCACAGCTTTTTCCTTTTCCTCCTCGGTCTTCCCGGCCCTGGTGGACAGGGTCGGGGAGAGCGGGAGGGACCAGCCCCGCCCGCCGCCCCTCACGTACCGTGCGCTCCTCCTCCTTTTCCTTTTCCTCCTCTTTTTCCTCCTTTCCTCCTCCTCCTCCTCCTCCCGCCGCTCCGGGCGCGCTCCCGCCCCGCCCCGCCGCGCATGCGCGACCCCGCCACTCCGGGAGCGCGGCAAGGGGGGGGAGCGGGGCCTGGCTGCGCATGCGCGCGGGGCGCGAGGGCGGGAATGGGAGACTGAGGGAATGGGGGGGCGAGGGAATGGAGGGATGAGGGAGTGAAGGACTGAAGGGATGAGATCATGAGGGAATGAAAGAGTGAGGAAAGGGGGTGAGGGATGAGGGAGTGAAGTATGAGGGAATGCGAGCGATGATGGGATGAGGGAGTGAAGGAGTGGAGCGATGAGATCATGACGGAATGAAGAAATGAAAGATTGAGGGGATGAAGAAATGAAGGAGTGAGGAAATGAGGGGATGAGTTGGATAAGGGAATGAAGGAATGAGGAAATTGAGAAATGAAGTGAGGAAATGGGATGAGAGGAATGAGGGAATGAAAGAGTGAAGGGATGAGGGAATGAAGGAGTGAGGGGATGAGAGATGAGATCATGAGGGAATTAAGGACTGAGAGGGATGAGGGAATGAAAGATGATGAGATGAAGAAATGAAGGAGTGAAGAAACGGGATGAAAGCAGAAGAGAATGAAGGAGCAAGGGGATGAGAGAATGAGAACTATGAGATGAGGGAATGAAGGAATGAAAGAGTGAGGGGATGAAGAAATGAAGGCGTGAGGAAATGGGATGAGGGCAGGAGAGAATGAAGGAGGGAGGGGATGAGATCATGAAGGAATGAGAGGGTTGAGGGAATGAAAGGAATGATGAGATGAGGGATGACATCATGAGGGGATGAGGGAATGAAGAAATGAAGGAGTGTGGAAATGGGGGCATGAGAGGGATGAGGGCATGTGGGAATGAAGGAGCGAGGAAATGGGGGATGAGGGAATGGAGGGATGCAGGGAGTGAAGGGGATGAGCGAAATGAGGGGGTGAAGGAATTAATTGCTTCCACCAAGCAATAGCAGGCCTAGCCACCTTCCTCTCCCTGCTGCATAAATATATAATGTTGTTACCTTTTGAGGAGGAGGTGCATTGGGGTTAATACGGTCACCTGTGCACTGTTCTTCCTAGGCCATTTCCAGGAGGTGTATTCCAGTGTTCTTTTCAATTACCCAGCTGCAATGTTTCTGTAATTCCCTGTAAGTCTGAGAATTTGGGAGGGGCGCCAAAGCTGTTCTGCTATGCAAATTATTTTTTAATTTAAAGAGTCTATTCAACCATACATTCTTCAGCGGTAAAGTCCTGTCAGGCGCAGCTAAGCCATCCAAGGTAGTGTGTGCAGAATGCACTGCAGCAGGGCGTAAAATCTTTGTTTTAGCTATAAACTGCTGTTTTAAATAGTTCTAGGACTGTTGTGCTTATAGTAAATCACAGCTACTCCACCAGTCTGGAGACCACACTACTCAGGGAGAGCTTCTGTATGCAAATGGTGTGTTGTGATGTGACATTTTCCCAACTGTGCACTTCTTAATTTCCTTGTAATTTGCTGGGTGTGGAGAACTCAGGAGAACCAAAGCTTTTTTTTTTTTTTTTTTCCCCTGAAATATTCCTGAGGTAAAGCATTTCTCTTTGTACTTAAAATTCCTGTTAGCAGCCAAGTCTTTCAAATAAATACCAGAGTTCATGTGTAAAGATGATTTTCAGCACTTGTGATCAATTAAATGTTCCATCTAAGTTTGCAGTTTTAAACATTAGGTGTATATATAAGCAAAGTTTTGCTTCATTAAGTTATTCTGGAGAACTCTTAATTGTATTATGTGCTTTGGACAGATTATGGTGCCTTCATAGATTGGTATTTTCACTGCATACATGATTTTTAAAATCAGCTGCACAGTTTGGATGATGCCATTACAGCTACAGGCTGTGATGCTGTAGCTCTTATTTAATCACCAGAATAAATAATTTATATAATTCTTTACTGCCTTTTTTAATTTTATTTTTATTTTGGTGATTAAAGCATCGTGTTGTCACCCACCCCTGAGTTTTAGGGGAGGGTTTTTGCACTGTGGAGTGTTCTCTCTAGGCCATTTTTTGCTAACAGTAAATGCATGTGGTAATGAAAAAACGTCACGTAATGTGCATTTCCTTGGAAGCTACAGCTCCTGATTTCTAATTTTAGCTTTGTTTCTGTCTCTCTGGATTATCTTAGGGAAGAATCGTTGGTTTTGAGACATGGCTCATACAAAAAGTGGCTGAGAGGGCCCTGATTTTGCATCAAAGTTGGCAAAGGAGTTACCATGGCTGAAAAAATAAGGCTGAGCAGAGTGAAATTCTGTTCTTGCAGCACCTGGTATCAGCTTGGTCATCTCCAGTCCCGTTGCCAGGGCACTGCAGTAGATTGCAGTGTATGCCTCTTTATCAAGGGAAATGCATCTGCTGAGGCTCTGAAATTACTGGACAAGAAGTCCCAAAGTGAGGGAGTTCTCTCCTCTCTCTCCCTCCCTTTACCTGAAAAAATGCCTCGGGTTTCCAGCTCATCTCTGCCATTCAACAGCATTAATAGACCCGCTCTCTCTGTCACTGCTTAGATGTTTATACACTTAAATGCATTAAAAGGTCATTAGACCATTTAATTTTCTTCTAAAGATATCATTACGCATTTAGAATATATACAGTTTTCATCCGTTATCATTGATGATGATGAACGACCTAAATCATTGACACAAATACCATGTTTTTATCAAATATCAAAAGGAAAAAATTTTCAGAGTAAATTACTGTTGTTGTAGGAACTTTGTTGATTGGGAATTTTAGAACTAAACTAAATGGAGATCATGGAAAATAATCCTTTGTCAGCAAGACTGAATGACCTCTGAAATGTCTTTTTCATCTCTTCATCCTGCAATCTTTTGTCCCAGGAAATGCGGCTCCAGCCCAAACCCCTTGATCAGTCGAGCAGTTCATGCAGCACTCCACTCTCCAAAGGAGAAAAGGTGACATTACAGCTCTCAGGCTGACAGAATTAACACCATGTACCCTTCATTCCGTGAATCTTCCTCGGTGTGCTTCATCTCCTGACAAAGTAATTCTTCACAGCAACCCTAATGCTACTTCTTACACTTTGTTCTTTTATTACTCTTAATTTCTGACACTGAGTGATGTTGCTAGGACAAAAAGAGATAAGAATTTGTTATTGCCAGTGCCTGGCAGTACCTGTGTTGCAAAGTTTTATTAAAAAAAAAAAAATAATATTGCCAGGTGGGCCAAATCAGGAATAATGGTGTAGCCAAAGCAAAGTGCTTCTGGGAATGTCATGTGAGGCTGCTGGACAACATGCTCAAACCATTTCACTTGTGCTATAATACACAGTTTCTTCATTTTCTGCACTAATATGTAATAAGAATTAAAAATAAGATATTCTGCATTTTTCTGTTGTGTTTGTTCAGGACACTCAATAGTCAAAATTCTGCCTCCTGATACAACTTGGTAAGTGGGCAGTTACTCCTTTGAAATTGTTAACAAACCCTATTTTCCAGTAATC